GGAAGTTGCTTGGTTATATTGAAATGAGGTCACATTCTGCAGTGTCGGAGTGCAAATGAAGCAGGTTGTTCGGTTTGTTTAATCAATCTAACTGCGGTTTGAGTAGAGTGGATACCTCTAGAGAATGGTCCTATTGTGTTCCAAATTTTACATGCAATAATTGGAGGTTTTCAAGTTATACTTATGGATAGAAACTGAATTTTCCTTGGAAGACGTCAAGACTTGTGGTGTTTTCTATATTAATTGTGGGATTCTATGTTCTCGTCTTAGGAGGTAACGGATTTAGATCCGCAGGAAGTTCTTCAGAGCGAAGTATTTCGAATGTGGTGCTTTTGGGAATATTTAAGAGAGTATTCAACGGCTTATGAGTCTTAGACAGTATGGTTTTATGCTTGGGTCTCGTGTGGTAATCCTGGGTTGAGAAATTGTGGTGCTACAGCAAGAGAGAATATCAAGTTGAAAATGAATCAGAAGGAAATTTAGATAGATGGAATAGTTTGATAGTAGACCGAATCGGTATGGTAAGGATATGATTAGTTTCGTGCGTGTGTTCGAGGTAATGAGTTCTTTCAGGTATTTTGCGGCGATGCTCTTAGGTTTTGATGACTTGCTTAGCTTGATCGAGTTAGAAGGATTCAGTCCTGACATGTCTGATTTGTGCAAAGAGAACTCGGAAAGTTCTTGATGGTTTTACCGCGGTTTGGGAATTTATATTTTCTGTGGACATGGGATGTATAGTGATTTTCCTTCTAGGTGGGACCAATGGAAGGTTCGTGACTAGTGAATATGTAGTTGATTGTGGCTCGGAAAGGGATTTTAAAGTTCTAATATTTATCATAGGATGGCATATTATATGTGGTATGTTGTGTAGGGCGGGGATTGGCATATGTAAGGTCGCAATTCAATTTTGAAAGGAAGGTAGCGGGTATTGATAGTTCAGCCGCGGAGTCATCACAGTTAGCAAGGTGGCTGCATGACGTTCGCAGCACCACTTCCTTCCCCTCATTGTTGTTACTGTATTTAGTACATTTTTAGACTTTTGTTGTATTCAGACCTTGATAGTTGCTCATGACTAGTGACACCCCGATGTCGGACTGGTATTTTATTCCGCACTGTTATTCTAGGATTTTATTATGAAACATTGTTTAATTTAAAGACTTAAAATGACTCTTAATGCTTAAAGGGTTAAGGTGAGTGTTGTGTCGGTTGGCCTTTTCTTCACGAGAGGCGCCATCACGACCGGGCCGGTTTGGGGTCGTGACATTAACCAAATTCATCCAAGTAAATGCATTTTGCTGGTGACCTAAGGTGTTCCTACCAAAGCACAACAAATGATATCCACTTATGTTCTAGATAATTAGGGTACATAACCTACGAGGCTAAATAGCCCTGAAGCACGTGTGTGTGCTCCATGAAGGCAAAAGGGATTCAAGTAACTTGTCATACCTGAAGCCCCATCAAACTTGCAGTCATAGCAGATTTGTCTAGATTATGATGTGCTTCAAATAATTCAAGAACCAAGGAATTCCAGTAATCCAAGCAAACCTGTGCAACCACAGCTTAACAATGAGACACTTATTTAGAGATATCTTATCAAGAACCAAAAGTAGATATAATACCTTGAAAACCTCAGTGTCATCCACATATGAGATGTTAATTAGATACTCAAGCCCCAGTAGGAGGGCATTTACATTTTCTTGTGACGTTTCTAGCACCCGTATGTGAGACTGCACGTGAAGCAGCTCATTAGAGAATATGCTTACTAATACGTCTCAAGTCAAACTGGTAAAATCAAGGCTACTATGCACCAAATCAAAAGGTGAAGAAACTTACCTTAAAGAATGATGTGAAAAACAGCGCCAAATTCTGAATAAATGCCTGGTTAAAAAGGAAAGAGAGATGAGGTTACGTGTTAATATCACAAGCTAAGTGACCAATCATTTGTTGCAACTAACAAACCTGCTCTTCATTGCTTCCATTTGCATATGCCTCAGGAATATTCGTATTGGGAGGAAGAATAGTCTACATGGGAAGAAAAATAAACATATATGAGCACTATTATCAGAGACAAATGGCTCATACAATAAGGTATGGTGGAAAAAAACTCTACAAACTACTAACAACAAGGACGGCAGAAAAATCAAGGTCATCCACACGCTAGGATGGTTATGTTCCACGAAACAGAATCTTTACACAGTTTTGCCAACTCTAAGATCAAAATTAATGTAACTTTTGACACGTTAAATAGATCTGATTCAGATAAACTGACTGAAATGCAAGCTCAGACTCATCATAGCAACTACTCATGGACAAAGGGGACACAAGCAAGCGTACAGAGAAGATCGGTGTGAGAAAGTGAAGACAGCTCCAATTCAAATAACAAGTGAATGATAGCTTGTAGCCTTTGTGCTACCGCAGTACCACCTTTGACCTACACATAACTATAATAAATATTTCTCCTACTCAATTATCCTACCTCCCTCAAGATCCTCAACATTGTCCACTCTTCTAAACTGAAGTTTCTACTTTACACCATACAAGCTGAATGTTATTCTTCAAACTTATTTACCAAAGGAGGGAGCATGGTACTCAGAAGAGGATGCAAATACCATGTGAAAGGAAATGTCAGGTTGCATTAATAATGAATTTTTAGATGTGTCTTTAGGCCCAAGACATCAACAGTAAGAAATATAGGTGGGGAATGAGGAGATGCCAAGAGTTATTAACGCCAAAAAGGAGAGTGTTATAAGAAATTACTAAAGGCAGAAGGCGGAAAGAAGCCAAACGAGTGGAGGAAGAGTATCTTAATTCCAATAGATAAGAACAAAAGAAGATATTCAAAATTTTGTGAACTATCATGGAAAGAACTGATCGACATCAAGAAAGTATGGTAAAACATAAACTTGAGGATGTTATAGGGATGACAGAGAACCGGGTTGATTTACAACGAATGCACCAGTTTGGCTCAGAATGTTGACACAAGTTTGCAGTGAGAGGAAAGAGCAGTTACACATCATATTCACTGATCCGGGAAAAAATGTACAACAAGGTACCAAGAAAGTTCTTATAGTGCCATGGTGGAAGTTGGAGAAGAAAAAAAAAGCATATCAAGAATATAAAGCTCATAACAAATATGTACGAAGACGTCATCACGTGTAAAAATAGTAGTAGGAGATACGTAGGACTTTTCCATAGCTACGAGTTTACACTATGTATTTGCAATGAGCCCAGTACTTATTTATCCTAGTTATGGATGCGCTAGTGGATAGTATATATGATGAGAGCCTGTATTGTATGCTATTGAAAACAATATTGTGTTAATTGATGAAATCTGCGAAAGTGTTAATCAAAAGCTTGAACTATGGAGCACCACTCTAGAAAGTAGGAGTTTTAGGATAAGTAGAAGTAAGACAGAATATACATGTTGCATGTTCCGCCAACATAAGAACCGGGATATTGAGGTAAGATTAGATGAGATTCGCTGCCTAAATGCAAATAAATTCAGAACCTTGCTTTACCTATCAAAAAATTCAGATCTAGGTTTTATACTCCAGGAGAATGGTATGATGGATGAAGATGTAACACATATAATTAAAATAGGATGGATGATATAGAGGAATGTTGTGGAAAGTGATGTAAGGAATCCTACAAAAGTGGAAAGCAAGTTCCATAGAACGATTGTAAGACCACCAATGTTATATGGGCGTATAGGGTTTCTAAGGAACAATTTATTCACAAAATGACGGTTGCAAATGCTAAAATTGATAAATCCTTACAAGATTAGACAAGATTAGGAATGATCTAATCTGATACTCCCTCCATTTTAATTTATGTGAACATATTTCCTTTTTAGTCTGTGCCAAAAAGAATGACCCATTTTCTTAGTTGGAAATAATTTACCTTTATGCAATGATTTATAGTCACACAAAATATATATACGTCATTTTACACCACAAGTTCAAAAGTCTTCTCTCTTTTCTTAAATTTCGTGCCCAATCAAATAGGTTCACATAAGTTGAAACGGAGGGAGTATAAGGAAAAAAATAGCATACACCTACAAAATGAGATGAGGTAAAAGAACAGGGCAGACCTAAAATCACATTATAGGAAGTTGTTGCAAAAGATCTTTAGAACCCGTTTGGACATAGATTCCCAAATATTTTTTGAAAAAACTTATTTGGATGAAGTTTGAATTGAAATTGAAAATGTGTTTGGATATAAATTTTGGGACAAGTTTTGACATGTTAAAAAGTCCCAAATGATCATGATTTGGCCCAAAAAGAGGTCTTAAGCTATATTTGGGATTTGAAATTTTGGTTTTCAAAATCTCTCAAAAACTAGATTAATTCTATAAACAAACACAGATTTGGAAAAAAAAAATTAAAAAAACTTCCAAAACTTATGGCCAAACGCCTACTTAATCTCTAGCAATCCATGTAGATGTAACAAAAATATTATCAATGGAAACAAAAGAACCATTTAGGAAATCAAACTAGTCGGAATTAACGCTTAGTCATGATACAAAACTTACATTATGCTTAGTGTTGCTAGGAGTATTTAGTTTGTCCAATGATTTGGATGTCATAGGAAATTCAGAGTCTCTAGTGATTCAAAACCTCAAATTATTTAATATTTCCATGAAATGAATCAAAATAGAGTGAAATAGAGAGTGTGGACTCACATGTTGACGCCGACAAGCTTGGGAATGAAATGCAGTTGTCGGCGTTGCTTCAGATTGACATCCATCATCACTTAAAATTTTAACTTGTAGAATAGTATCGATTCAAGTAAAAAAATATACAAATGTTTCTACAAAAATTATTAGAAGACACAAAGATAAACTTCACCTTCGGGAACTATCAGTGAAATTGAACTATAAAATATGGGCAAAAAGAAAATACTAGAGCAAAATGCTGCTTTACTAAGCAAGAAAGGCAAGAAGCAAGGGCGCAACAGTTGCACGAGAGTCATTGCTTGTAGCAGTAGCGTGTATGATTGCTTAGACAAATAGGAAGTGAAAGACATATTTTCTCTTGCATAATCACACAAAAATAACAACACTTCAATGCTTAAAAACACTTTGGAAAATTCTCCTACAGAACTTGGGCCCAAAAAAAAACATGATTTCTTGTAAACTATACTTAAGCAGGACAAATATAATAAAAGCTTTATCTTTTCTTTTTTTTTTGACAAGTTAGAAAGAATAATCGTAGCTTTGGACAAAAACCACATAACCATGTAACCACCATTTGCTTAAACAATTGTGTAGAGCTATCTATGTATTCCTATCAAGTCAGACGAAAAACAAGGGAGAAAGAATACTGAACGCATGGCTGCACATCATAGATTTCCTTCATTAATGCTACAGACAGACTTAGATCAATTAAAAACCATACAAGCAAATTCTACACTCCTTTTCACTCACCTGCAACTGCACCATGAATATATTGTACATTTTGACATACTGGACGTTATAAAAATCCCCAAAATTGAGGACAGCAACCTGTTAGATATACAAACTAGCCAATAAGTGTCCTGAATCACTTCACATCAAGCATCAGAAAAAGGAACTTTTCTGGAGATCCCCATGATATACCTCTGTTAAGCACTGAAGAGTGGGATTCCGATAAGCTGGCATAGGGAAAAATTTAAGCAGTGTTTCCAGCTGTAAAAACAAACAGGACAGACTTCAATCTTTTTTCTCAAAGACATTCACATTACAACAGGTAACATATATAGTGACAAGCTTCAATCAATAAGATAAAGAATACGTAGCAATGGAATACAAACCAATGGTGATTCAAATATATAGCCCACAGGAATCCATGAAAGGAAAGCATGCAATGTTGCAAGAGTAGCCCTGATAAGCTCGGTTCTTTGGGATGCTGATAGCACATACATGCATAACTCATGGATGAGTTGAAACTCGCTGGGATCAGAAGAAAGAATCTATCAGTAAAATTTGTCCCAAAAATAACAATCTTGGTATCAAAGAATATAGGCATTTTGTATTAAGCATATATAAAATAGAACTTTAATCCTAGTTAATAGCAAGATAATAGTTATATTAAACGATCAAGCAACTGAAATGATTAAAAATTGTATCAATCCTTTGAACGAGTCTAAAATTCATTCAACAGTGTGCACCATCTTTCAATTCCTCATTACTATTGTTATTAGAATCCAAGTGGTCTCAAAACCAACCAATTGCAAGGCATGGTAAGAAAAGGAAAGTCAGGTTCCAATGGCATCCGATTACAAAGAACACAAAACTAAAAAGGAGATCTAAACGGAAGAAGAGACAATGCATGTCAAAAAATTAGACCACATACCAAGCACAAGTCCAGTTTCAAGAATCAGATACTACATATTCATTGAAAAGATCCAGCGTGATTATGCTTAGTTCAGAAAGGAGAAAAAGGAGAGGAGAGAAAATTTTCTTCTATCTTTTGGTGGCAAAATGGAAAGAGAATGAAAAATATAGAGGACAAGACATCTCTTTCTTGGAATCACGAGGTTGTTCCCAAAATGAGGAAAACTCTTATTCCCCATCTCACTTTCTATCCCAACCAAACCAAGGAAAGACTCCACCTCCTCTTCCATTTTTCCTTTTCTTATTTTCTCTTCTTTTCTCTTTTATTCCCTAGATTCCAGAATTAAAACAAAACCAGCGCTGAAGAAATGTTCTCCTCTAACATATAATTCACAACAACAACAACAACAACGACCCAGTATAATCCCACAAGTGGGGTCTGAGGAGGGTAATATGTACGCAGACCTTACCCCTACCCCGAAGGGTAGAGAGGCTGTTTCCAGGAGACCCTCGGCTCAAAAAAGCAACATGAGCCGATATATTAATACCATAAAAATGCATAATAAAATAACAGCAATATAAGATATATGAAATACAGAATACGAAATACGAAATAGATGGCTGGTATAGTAAAACTAGCAGGTAAAGCCCTGCATCAACAGACGACCAATGACATTCTTAGTCTAACTCCTAACTGGCTAGTCTCACTCTATTGTGCTGTAGAAATATTCACAACTTTCCCCTACCCTACAACTTTCCCCTATATATTCACTCTAACATATAATTCCTATGCTACAAAACATAAGCATGTGCAACCAGGTATTCCAAGTTACACCCCGTATCCACAATCTTATAATACAATACAATCAGCAAAATATTAAAATGAAAAATGTGCTAGATTGAAATAAACAAACGAGCTTTAAAATTGGATAGAAAAACTAAGGATTACACCAGGAAGTACCTATTCAAAGATTGTTTAAGCTCTTTAATTTTCTGTTGAGTCATTTCGCCCCTCGAGAAATCAAATACCTCCTCACTAAGAAGCTGAAGAATAAAATTTTCTGTCATCAGTGTGTACTTGATTGTTAAGTTTCACCGGAAGGAAGAAAAGAGGTGCGCAAAGACCTTCAATATGGCCATGCAATTTTCACATATAGTCTCACTTGTCTTTGCGGCTGCAACTAAATCTGGAACAAAGCTTCGCCATCTGGCTGGCCACTCATGCTTCAAAATCTGCAGATGCAAATATTCAAGAATAAAACCCCTTCTTTAAACCATTTAAAATCATGTGTAGCTTGAGTGACAGTCACTCTCAGTATTTGCAATGTTAAAACTACCTGAACCAAAGTTATATTTAGCTTGCTAACATATAGCTTTTCCCGCCTAAGTGATGCTTCATCACTAGAAAGCTGAGATCAAGACGAAAATAAACATACATGAAATAGTTAAAAGAATCAGAAGAAATGAGAAAATCCAACTCAACGTCCCCAATATGACAATCAATTGTGTAGTTATACCTTTACAATAACTTCAGAAATGTAATTTTTCATCCCATCTCTTTGTTCAACAGGTAATGCATTCCATCTATACTTTATAACACCTTCTAGAACCTGCAGGTATGAAGCCAATACAGTAATCCACTAATCCCGTCAAACAGTGACCAAAAACAATTAATTTTAAATTTGGGCAAATACGGAGAACATGTCGCCATATTGTGTTTTAGTGATGTCAATAAAATATCCATCTTCTCAAGACAATATTAAAGCATCCTTTAGTAATTTCTTCCTCTACTTTGATTCAATTTTAAACTTATTGACATCCGAAGAATTCACAATTTGGCTCCTGTAAATTGTCCACTCCAACCTACGCACTTAAGGCTAGATGTCTTTTATGGTTATATAGTTGGCAGAACTTAGCTCCTGCAAATTGTCCTATTAATCTTTTGGACTTCGTCGGCTCCTTAGCTTTAGCCTAGTTTTTGTCTGTAGAGCTGACTATGTCTTTATGTATCTCTCTTTTGTACTTCTTGCATCTTCTTGATGCCTTTAATGCAATTCTTTTACTTCATCAAAAAAAAAAAAAAAAAAAAAATCACAATTTGGGTTGTCTCACAGCCTACCTTTACCTTCACAATCAAAGAACAAACTCCAAACTTAGCTCTCATCTTAAATCATGCCAACTTAAACCAAGACAAGCAACAAATAGAAGGAGTATCAAATATCAATTAAAAGAACACAACGAAACATCAAACTTTTGGATCGCTTCTAATACTCTCACTGTCCAACGACTTAAAATGCTAATGTCATTTGGCTTTTGTTCAAAACAACAATACATACTACACCAAGAAAAGTGATATAGTGCAAAATTGAATCTTTACATAACTATACCAAGAAAAGCAATACTCTTCATCAATGCTAAATTGAATATTTCCCTTTTATTAGATGTGATCAAATGTCAACTTCATTATAACTCTTTTCTATTCTTAAAACAATCAAAAGGTAAATTTATACTCACATGTCATTTTTAAAAGAAACACACTGTTAAAATCAGCATAACAGTTGAGACATACTCTATAAAATATGAACATCCAATTTGGATCAAAGATTAGTACTCAGTTACAACTTTTCATACGTTTGTACTATATTAACGAAACCTAATATATTAAACATGCTCGCCCAAGTTATAAGCATGAAATTGATATTAGTAAGAATGTATACAAATGTTTAATCGCTGAGGTAAAGAGCCCATAAACACAGATGCAAGTAAAACTTATATATCCGAAATACGAATAGAATTACTTCCAAAAACTGACCTGCAAAGCAAAAAACTTGGTGTTCAGGCTTTGCGTGCTCGACAAAATGTGAACCACTTGAAGCCACATATCTGGGATATTTTGCAAGTCCCGCAAAATATGGTCTGCTGCAGCTCTCTACACAGCAAAATAGATAGAAGTGGGCGACAGAAGAGTAAAAAATGGAGAACAAGAACAGCTTTAAAGCTAATTCTAGTTGTCCTAAAAAATTTGTGTGATAATTAAATGGTACAAGGAATCAATTAACAAGCTACGCCTACACATATGATCTTTTTGGCCAATGCATCTTTTGTTGTTCATTCTTTTTCAAGAATCTATGAAGTGCCTTTTATTCAAACAAATATTAACTTTTTTATCAAAACGTATACTCCCTCTATTTCAATTTAGATGATACACTTTCCTTAATAGTCCATTCCAAAAAGAATGACACGTTTCTATATTTAGAAACAATTTAGCTTTAAACTTTTCATTCTACCCACTTTACCTTAATGAGAAGCTTTTATAGCCACACAAATATTATGGTCCCAGTAAGATTTTGCCCCTTAAGCATTTATCAACACATGTTTCAAAAGTCTTCTTTTTTTCCTTTAAACTTTGTGTCAAGTCAAACTACATCATCTAAATTGAAATGGAGCGAGTATTAATTTATACTCTATATTGATATGGGAGTATGTATCCTTGCAATTTCTAATCAGTGTTATCAAAGGCGTATGTAAGCCCTAAAGCGAGACTCAAAACATGTTGAGCGCTTCGCCTTGCTTAGCAGGCGCTTCAGTGTTGTCATCAAGGCTCTAAGATATATTTTTCCTTGCCAATGAGCGTAATCCTGAAGAGGGACACTAAGCAATTGATACTTTCACTTTATCATAAATTTTCTTCAATTTCTTTGTCCATATACTTGGTATTCATGCCTATAGATATTAGTCTTGGACTACACATACATATTTGTTATTTTTTTCCATTTGTACCTTTTTTCATTAAAGCCCGCACTTTATTTGTGCTTTGCACTTAAAGCCCCAACAGACCTTAGAGCTTTTTTGCGTTTTTCGCTTTTGATAACACTGAGTTTCTTGACTTCCAATAATTACTAAAAGTTGTGCGTGTGCATGTAAATGGTTGCTAAAAGAAAGTGGATATAATATTCACTATAGTACAAGGACGGAAACTTAGGTCAATTACCATAATTGTTATTCTAGTCAACTCACTCAGCCTAGGTACTAATATTGCAAGCCAAAAAATTTCCATACTCAGCCTTCTAGCTAGACCATTCAGAGTCATATATGTTCCTATCCCCTTCATCCCATTCTGCTTCTTAACCGCTACCATCTAAGATCACAAGTCTACTTAAGACAAGAAAATTTACCATGATATCAACTGATGTGTAGAAACAATAAGCTTCCTATGACATTCAAATCAAACAGGAAACATATTAAAACTTGAAAATTGACTAAGCATATCAATATAACGCCAAATGTCACCTTTCACTGGGTCCGACTACAACCCCCTAAACAAAAATAGCCCAAATCTGTGATGCACGAGAAGTAGACTTGTTTGGTCACATAATCACACAGGTTTTTAGAGCAGCTGAGCCACTAATGAGCGAAATGCAATTCATGCTAGGGAATGTAAACAGTTATTTTTGCGAACCTCACCTAATACAGATAAAATAAATTATCCTCCAAATTTCAAACAAAGCATAGCCCATAGGATGTGGAATACGATTGGAATTGCAAGTACACTGATGTGCTCTAGCAACAAGTTGCCATTATACACCAACTGAGTAACTAATGCATACCCTAAAATTACCAAACCTAATTCTATACTGCTGAAAGAAGGTCCAGAACTAAATACTACAGATCTCAACCCTTCTCTTTTATTCACTCTCCAAAATGGAGAATCAATTGCTGATATGTTCTTCCTTCTACTGTGGTGTCTCTGAGTTCATATTCCTAAATCTGTGCGCACACACACACACACACACATATATATATATATAAAGCTTCAGGCTGAAAGAAGTTAAGGATCATGGCAACACCTCATCAGAACCACATTCACACTAAGCTTCTATTCTTCATTGCACGTATGTGGACTACAATACCTCACCCGACTCTCCACAAACTTTAGTGGCCTTTTGCTTCTTCAGTTTTTCTATTCCCCCCTACATCTTTTTCTTTTTTTTTGGCGGGGGGGCAAGGGAGAGGAAGGTCAATAAGAAGCTTCTGAAACTCGCAATTCTCAGGATGGTACAAACATTAGAGAATAACTTTTGAAACAAAAGAATAATTATAAAACAACTCCAGAAAAAAGAGAAAAAAAACACATGCCCATGAATTGCAGGGGTGAAAAAGGGGGGATACAGAGAGATAAACAGCTCCAAAAGAATACAAAACTCCTTGGCCCTCAATCGGAAACAAAATGCAGAGCTAGCAGCGCAAAACAGAAAAATCAGTAAGAATTTCTCAAAAAGAGTAAAATGACTTCATTCACCTATGGGAAGAAATCATTTTAATTTATAAATATCCCAAACTCCTACTCCACATCACTTTCTTCAACTGAGACACTTGAGACATTTTTGTCAACCCTCAAATAATCAATAATATCAGTGGAACACTATCCTTGTACCCTCAAAACACTATCATTATACTCTATTGGCCAGCTTGTGCTAGCCTCGGCTATTCCATTGAATATCTAGTTATCTACTACCTCACACCAGAACGGGTACTGGGTAGCTCTGCCAACAAGGTTTAGGCGACAGGAACAAATCATCTAATGTTTTTTGCCTCCGTTGAGATTGGAACATGAGACCTCATGGTTCTCCTCCTACTTTAGACCACTAGGCCACATCCTTGGGTGCTTAGTATACCCAATCTTTCACCTTGTACAATTACCATACATCACAAACTTTTGTATCCAACCACCAATCCGTAAAGCAAAACAATTTTCCACATACCAAACCATCCAAAAATTCTTCATTCCTCTCCGATGGTTCAATTAACATGTGGCTAACTGTACTGAAATAAACTCTAGTAGTCAAAAAAGTTTGGTAAGCAATTGGAAATTACAAATTGGAGAATTAAGCCACATTAGTGACACATAGCAAATGAAGTGGAGAATGAAGGCAATAAGAGAGTTAGCAGATGCATATGTTGTTACCTCTTCCTTAGATCCAGTTCCATAGAAAGCGGCAACAGTGGCATCAAGCAAGGCAACATCAATAGGCTGGCTCAAATCCCTAAGCTTCTCCGCCGCCATGGAGAGAGAGATTTCAAAGAGTGATAAACCCTAGAAATTTACAAGTCCAAAAGTTCAAAAACTCCCAGGAACAGTACGGATGGAACCCTAGAGTGAAGGAAGCATGTATTCTCTCTATTATATGTTTGAAGAACGAAGGAGGGTGGAAAAAAAAAAAAGACAGCTTCAATTTGAAGCAGAAAGCGAGGGGGTACTTTGACGGGG